TGAAACGTCAATGTTCCTGCTCCTCTGATGCTGCCTGGCCTGCTGTGCTCCTCCAGCTCCACACTGTGTTATCTCTCTGTCATGGTCACAGGATATGCGACAGTCCATTTCAAACTGAAATGAGAAAGTTCTTTATTCAGAGGGTGGTGAACCTGTGGAATTCTCTGCCATAGAGTGTTGTGCAGGTGAAATCACTGAATATATTTAAGAAGGAAGTTGAGTCAACAAACGTGTTGAAGTGTATGGAGAGGGAGTGGAGTATCGCATTCAAATAAGAGGATCAGCATGATCATGTTAATGGCAGAGTGAGCTCAATGGTCAGATTGGTCTTTACTGCTCCTATTTTCTATTTTTCTATATATGATTATATTCCCCAGGCCATTTGGCTCTTACTGTTATTTTTTCATCAGTTTATGATGAAAGAAAAGTCACTAATTGACAACTATGAAATGATCCCTACAAAACATTTTATATGTTAAGACTTTGTTTTTGTTGCTGGAACAGTACTAACCATGTCATTGCACTCACATTGCAATGGATTATCTAAGGTTTTGGAGTAGATTTGTAGCTCGGGTTGTGGGTGTTGAGGTTGGTTGGCTCGCTGAGCTGGTTTCTTGTATCACAGACGTTTCGTTACCATGCTGGGTAACATCCTCAGTGCAGCCAATACAAGAAACCAGCTCGGCGAGCCAACCAACCTCAACAATGGATTATGAATGGGACCTCCATGGTTTTATAAAGTTAGAATGGCAAATCATTGGGCCTGTTTGCTTGTTAGTGTGCATTTGCCAAAAATATTTGCTGTTAATGGGAACTCATTTTATTTCAAATTAAAGACATTCAATTGAAAGGAAATTTGTCAAAGGCTATTCACTAAATAAGGTTCTTTCATTTGAGGATGACATATCGATGAGTAAGAGTAGCTTAGTGAATTTGGATTAATATCCAGAGATTTACAATTTAGATCCTTCAAATTGGAACCCAAAACAAGTACTGTGCAGATGGGACAATCCTCTATTCATCCTCTTGTTTAACTATCTTGCTACATAACTGCTTTGTCATTTGATGGGAAATTTTTAAAGTCTAAGGTTCTTGAGTAGATTTGTGGCTTGGGTTGTGGATGCTGTGGTTGGTTTGTTCGCTGAGCTGGTTCGTTAGTTCGCAGACATTTCATTACCAGCAGGGTCATGAAACGTCTGCGAACTAATGAACCAGCTTGGCGGGCGAACCAATCACAGAAATTTTTAAAATGTGGGTAAGTATATGCACACTTACTACTGTATTACCAAGAATCAAACATGACTGTTGTATCACGAGGATTCCGATGTGAAATTCCTTTAAACTTGGTCAGCAAAACCTCCTTTCTTCTCTGGATAATCAAATAAATGTGGTAATGATAAAAATGTCATGGATCTTGGAGAAAAAGTGGTTAACTCCCTGCTATCAAATATGTTTTTGTCTTATTTCCAAACTTAAAATAAAACAATTTTGAAAGCATTTGAAGTAAAACAAAAGTTTTAGTTATCATCATCTTTCTATTGTTATTGTTTTAGTACTTTACAATGATAGAAAAATTACGTTACTGGATAAATAATCTAGCAGGGTTGGAATTCTCCAGACTCTGTCAAGTTTATTTTTGTGGCCAGATCTTGCTCACTGTTGTAGTGGGTCTTCAGGTGCAATTTTAGTGCAAGTTGGTCAATTAGAAACATCCTCTAGGAGTGTCATTCAATTAAGGATGGTAGGCAAGTAGAAGAAGCAAGAAGACCAATCAGTGCTGGTACATGTTTGGTCGTCTTCACTTTTTTTGTTGCAGGTAAGTGTATTTACAATGACTGGAACATAAGAGGGCTAATTTGAGGAAGGCGAGATAGGCAGGAAGTCTTTAACTTGAGCAATCTCTGTGGCCTGTGCTTGGCCATCCATTTTCAGCAATATCAGATTGCATGTAAATGTCAAGTCACTGCAATTTCCTGCTGTGCACTTGTGTCCTGTGAGCTGCTGAGTTATGTACACTGCAGGGGGTTCTGGTAACCTCTGGAAAAATTGGAAAGACTGAGAATAATCCCCACTAACTGAACTGAATAGAGAGGGCTAGGCAGGCGATGTGGTAGTGACGCCAGTTTGATCCACAATGATTACATCTGCAGCAAATGCGTAGCACAGTGGCTCAGTGGTTAGCACTGCTGTCTGGGTGGAAATGATCATGGGTTTGGAAGGTGATGTCTAACGATCTTTGGTGAATTTCTGCAGTGCATCTTGTAAATAGTACACACTGCTTCTACTGAGTGTCGGTGGTGGAGGGAGTGGATGCGGTGCCAATCAAGTGAACTGCTTTGTCCTGGTGGTGTCAAGTTCCTTGAGTGTTATTGGAGCTGCACCCATCCAGGAAAGTGGGTAGTATTCCATGTGGTCCTGGCTTATGATGGTGGACTTTGGGGATTTTGGAGGTGAGTTACTCACTGAAGTTTTCCTAGCCTCTGATCTGCTCTTGTATCCACTCTGTTTATGTGGTCAGTCCAGTTAAAATTCTTGTCAATGGTAACCATAACGATGTTGGTAGTGGGGATTCAGTTATGGGAACAGCATTGAATGTCAAGGAGTAGTGGTTAGATTGTCTCTTATTGGAGATGGTCACTGTCTGGCATTTGTGTGGCATGAATGTTATTTGCTACTTATTAGCCCAAGCCTGAATATTGTCCAGATATTGTTGCATCTAAACATGGACTGCTTCAATATCTGTGAAGTTGTGAATGGTGTTGAACGTTATGCAATCATTGGCAAACATTCCCACTTCTGACCTTATGATGAAGGGAATGTCAATGATGAGGCAGATGCAGATGGTTGGGTCTTGGAAAATCCTGTGAGGAACTCCTGCAGAAATGTCCTGGAGCTAAGATGACAATATCCAACAACCACAACCATCTTCCTAAATGCCAGGTATGACTCCAACCAGTGGGGAGTTTGTCCCTTGATACCCACTGATTTCAGTTTTGCTCGGACTCCTTGATGCCACGTTCAGTCGAATGTGGCCTTAATGTCAAGGACTGTCACTCACACCTCCAGTTATGAATTTTGAAAAACTGTATGAAAGGTTACCTTTTTAAAACCAAGATACTGACTTTAAAAATGTCTTTCACAGCAGCTGCTGGAGTAATGAATTCAAACTCCTTTGTCTCTTGACGACATTGCCAGACATGAATGACACCTTGGAATTCAATGGATTTCCATAGTTTCCACAATTTCCACAGGAAAACAGTTTTAAAAGCCAATCACCACAGGGGGCAAAAAGCCTTCAGATTTTGGAACAGGATTGGGCTTTTGTTATATGGTCATATCATACAGTGACAATTTTCTTTCCTATTTAACATACAACAAACTGCTATAAGCTGACAGACATCCCAGGGAGTCAAAGCTTCATCATACACTGAGAGAAATGACTGACTGGCACAACGATTGACCTGATGTAAAAAGGGCCGCGCCGTGAGACCTGGAAGAGAAACATAGGACCTTCTCTTTCACCTGCCTCATTTTCTAAGCTTACCCATGAAAATAACTTCTGCATGATCAACAGTCAAAAACTGAGCTATTTCTGCGATTCCAAATCTTTCAGTCCCATCAACCTGACATCAGGACTGTGAAACAATAGGCCTCAATCGAAACAGAGATTTTAATAAAAACAGGAAGTGCTGGAGAAACTTAGCATATCTGGTAGCATCTGAGGAGACGGAAAAATAGAGTTAATGTTTCATGTCCAAGTACGATTTCTTTGGAATAGAGACCGTGTTCTATTCAATTTTTATAAGTTTTTATCTCAATAAAAACCTTAGTGCTATTACTTTATTTTTAATGTGTGAACATGAGTTAGTAGTTTTCTTTAGTAATCTCCAGGGCAAAAGTGTGAAAGAGAAACTTTTGAGTTGTATTGGACACGAAAATTTAACTCTTGTTTCTCTCTTCTCAGATGCTGCCAGATATGCTGAGTTTCTCCCGCACTTTTTGACTGGTACGGACTTAAATATTTCTGAGTTCTCATAAATGAAAGAACTCGCCAAGAATCTACTTTTTAAAAATCAGGAATCTGTCTTTGTTATACATCTTATGATTGTTACTAGTTAATTAATTAAAACATCCGTCATTGTTCTAAATAAGTTTTCTACGCATGACGTACGCAGAAGCGTTTCGAATAAGGAAGTGGTTCATGAGATTTTGCTTTCAGAGATCTTTACAGTCTGAATCACTGCCAGGAATGAGCAGATTTTCTGTCCCAAAACCAGAGATGCCGGTTACGTTTAGTACAGTGAATTATGTGAAACAAATATTTCACTAAGCTGCAGTACACAATTAAATAATAAATAAATACATTATATATTGTAAAAATGCATCACTGAAATATGTGACGGCTGACATTTAATGGAACAATGTAGCAATTACTCATGTGCGCTGTAGCAATCTTGGAAGCCCGACCTAACAGTCATCTCTGTGTTGTCTGTGGGCACTGATTTCCTGGACACTGCAATAATCTCCGTGTTTCAGCCACTATTCTCTCTGGGCGAGCCAGACGACGACGAAGATGGGGGGTGTGGCGACGACTGACACTGACGCACCGAGTTCAGAGTTAAAGGCGGGTTACTATGGCGGTGTTAACCTCTTTCGGCAGGTCATGTTTTTCGTGCCAGGGCGTTGGAGTTTGGCTCATTCCTTGCTCGGCGATCCGTTGCTTTGGAGCCGGAGTGCGATCTGCCGTATTTAGTAGACATGCCGTGAAGGCTAGAGTGCCGTCTCCCGGAGCGAAAAGCTTTACTGAGAGCGCCTCGGGGTTGGCGGCTGGGCCCAGGGCAGAGCTGCGGGTGTGTCACTTGGAGGCGGAGTCGGCAGGTAATCCACACATGCATGGGTTGGTTACCTTGGATGGGTTGCTATATTGTTTTTGTTTTTGTTTCTTTAACTGAATATAAGGTAAAGTCATCATAGTGTTACTAATCCATAGGTCAATTCTCTCATTAGAGAGGGATGACTGGTGGTGGTTTAACCTGAGGGTCACGATGCCTTAGGCAAGGGGCGAGGTCGAGGAGACCCCTGGTAATCTCAGGTGATGCAGCAATTGAACCCATGCTGTTGGTATCACCAACCGGCTGTCCCGTCAACTGAGCTAATTGATCCCTGTCAGCAAGAGTGATCTTCTCCACCTATGCAAGGTTTATAAGGGAAAAAAAATCAAATACATTTGCGTCTGCGAGGGAGGTTTGTTGCTGTTTGAACCTGCAGGTTCCTCCTTTTGATTATTCCCAAATCTTCATTGAGCAAGTTCTTCTCTCCCAAATTGACATTTTCTTCCCAAACACATTTAAATATGATGCTTAGTCGCCTTGGGATGAAATGCACGGTCACACGATAAGTGTTTGCTCTTGATGTAAGACTTTAGAAATTGGGCCAGAGAAATAGTTATTGAAATGTCTTATAATGTGCAAAATGAAGTATGTGACAAATTCTCCAGCTTCTAATCAGCAGGTGTTTAAGGATCACATTCAGTCCCTTTATTGGAGAAAATCTGGCAGATAGCAATTCAGGAGGTTTGAAATAAACATTGTTTCTGGACATGATAAAGCTTCAGGGGATAATCCAGTGCAAAAAAGAAGTTATTGTTCATATTATGTTACGTGTTAGGTTAAACAAATAGTACGTGTTAGCAATGCTGTTGATGTTGGAATTCTGAAATAAGGTGTCGGAGAAACTTAACATGTAGCAGTATCTGTGAAGAGAGAAACAGTTAATGAATGTTTCACTCCTGTAAGATTATTTAAATAGAAAATACTGTCAGATCAATGTGGAACTTTTATATTTTAGAGTAATTTATTTTTCTGTCATGTCTCTAAGCAGGCTCCTGCCATGACCATGAATCAAGTAGAGTAGTTGGTCTCAGGAGCCTGGTGTCATACTTCATGTCCTATCGAGTGAATTTAGTTTTGTGTGATTAGTGCTTCGATCCTGGGCAAGTTGGCTTGGGAGAGGATACTGCTGTTGGGCTGGCTTTCTTGCCACTGTATTTGGAGGATGTGATGCTGCTGGTTGTGTGCTTTGATATGCCTGCTTTTAGGTAGTTCAAGTCTCTGAAATGTAATGGGGTGCAGGAAATGCTGGTACCAGACAAAACCATGATGTGAGCCTTGGGTTTGTGGTCATGGTCCTCGATTATTGTCTTCCTTATTTGCCAAAACACATTAAATTGGCACATTGGAAGCAATGATGAATCTTATTATCTATGTCTGCCTTTGACAAAATGAGGCTTGTAAGATACGGAATATGCAGCGCAGTGGCTCAGTGGTTAGCACTGCTGCCTCACAATGCCAGGGACCTGGATTCAATTCCAGCCTTGGGCGACTGTCTGTGTGGAGTTTGCACATTCTCCCCGTGTCTGCGTTGGTTTCCACCAAGGTACTGTGGTTTCCTTCCACAGTCCAAAAATGTGTAAGTTGGGTGGATTGGCTAAATTAAATTGCCCATAGTGTCCAGGGATGTGTAGGTTAACTGGATTAGCCATGGGAAATACAGGACTACAAGGATAGGTTAGGGCAGTGAGTCTGGTTGGGATACTCTTCAGAGAGTTGGTGTGGACGTGTTGGGCTGAATGGCCGGTTTCCACACTGTAAGGATTCTATGTTCTGTATTTTTCAGGATCTCACTTTTGATTGTAATTGATGGGTGGAGTTGTTGTGCTTTCAGAGCTGGTTGAAAAAAATCTGTTTTCTGAGTTTATGCACTGAAGAGCCCATTTGCTCATGTGCTTTGGAGTGGAAATTCACTGTGACCTGGAGCTCAGTTTCTGCTTGGGTACATAATCACCATATACATCCAGAAACTCTTTCTGAGTTTGGAGTGATTTTGATTTTTGGATTAAAGAAGTAAAATGAACCGCTTCTCATCTATTCTACAGATTATTTCCACATCTGTAGGTAATTTGCAGAAGTTGAGGTGCATTATTGCTGTGAGGAAAATGGAGGAAGGAGTTGGTGGAATGTTACAGCCTTGTCTGATTCCAGTGTTCGTTGAACTCGGGTTTGTGATGGCTGCATTAGTATGGGTTGCAGTGTGCATGTCATTCGGTAGAGTAGGTGATAGATAGTGACAGTCTTCCGAGGTAGCTGAATTTGAGGAGGATACATCATAAGCCTTTGTGATTGATAGAGTAAAAGGATGTTGTGAAGTTATATGAGGCCATGTAGAGCGTTGGTGCTGTCCCTTGCACTATTCTTGAATTTGTGGTACAGTGCAGATTATGTCTGACGTGCCTTTCAATGAAGAAAATCTGCACTGTGACTGTGGGAAGAGGTCCTTGGCTACAGCGAGGAGGCGATTTGAGGAGAATCCTGGCAATGATATATGTGGGCATTTTATTTATGTGCCTCATGAACATATGTGGGTTCAATTCCCACACTGGCTGAGGTTCCTTCTCAACTTCTCCCCTCACCTGGAGCATGGTGATCCTCAGGTTAAACCTACACCAGTCATCTCCCTCTAATGAGAGGGCAGCTCTAAGGTTTGGTAATGGTAACTTTACCTTCTATACGTATATGTGCATAAATCATTAATGGTGGCAGGGTAGACTGAGAAAACATTAACAAAGCATGCTATATTGTAGGCTTCTTTATCAGGGCTTATAATACAAGAGTAAGGAGGTCGTATTGAACTTGTGAAAAAAACAGTTGTTCAGCCTCACAGAGTATTCTATCCTGTTTTAGGCATCACACTTTAGTGTGGGTATGAAGATTTTGGAGAGAGTGAAGTTTTATGAGAGATTTCTGAGAATGGTTCCTGGGATGAGGCATTTCAGTTTTGCAGATTGACAGCAGATCAAGTTGAAACAGTAAATGGGCATAAAATGTTCCCATGTATGAAAGGAGCACTGGACACAGATTTTTAAAAAAGCAAAAGTGAAATAAGGTAAAATGTTTTCATCCAACTAATGGTTAAGGTTACATAATGCATTGCTTGAGAATGTAGTGAAGACCAGTTCAATCAAGACATTCAACAAGGAGTTATGCTTATTTGAAAAGGAACAATATGCAGGGTCATGGGAAGAAGGCAGAGGAATGAATCTAAATGAGACACTCACTTGGAGACATAGGCTGAATGGTCTTCATCAGTAGTGTGACAGCTCTGTGATTCTATAGTCTATCCTGTGGCAAATAGCAGAGAAACCCCTCTGTAGTTATTACAATTAGATATTTCTTTCTCCTTGAATATATTATAGCTTGATGACAGCAACTCTCAAGACCCCCGGCATGCACTTTTCTTTCTTGATTTGAGATCTTGCAGCTGTGTCAGGAATATATCTCCACCATGTTTTGGAATTTTAGTAGGAAATCTAATTTCCCCAGAGGCTGTATTGTTTTTTATCTGTCAAATGGCTTTCTGAACTTTGCTCCCGACTAGGTAATGCCAAGACCAAGGGGGATTGAGGTGTAGATTTAAGGACGTTTATGACAAACACAAGAGTCTTGGTTGGGCAGTTCTTCAAAATGTTCTTTGCAGTGAGCAACAATTCCCTCCCAGTCCTTGATGAACTCCTCTCCATGCTTGATTCTCAATAGAGTGCTTGGGCCATAGATCATCTTGTTCACCATCAATAAAATGTGCATGTTATAGAATCAGAGATCTATAGCACAGAAGTTAGTCCTTTAGTCCACCAAGTCGTGCCAGTCAAAAACAAACAACTGACTATTCTAATCCCATTTTCCAGCACTTGGTTGTAGTCTTGTATGTCTAGGCATTGCAAGTGCAAATCTAAATACTTCTTAAATGCTATGAGGGTTTTTGCCTCAGGCAGAGTTCCAGATTCCTACCGGCCTCTGAGTCAAAAAAAACTTCTTCACATCCCCTCTAATCCTCTTGCCCTTTACCCTAAGTCGATGTTCCCTGGTTGTTGACCACTCTAACAAGAGGAAAAGTTCCTTTCTGTCTATCCTATCTATGCTCTCATAATTTTATACATCTCAATCTCAAAGAACAAAGAACAGTACAGCAAAGGAACAGGCCCTTTGGCCCACTAAGACTGAGCCCTACACAACACCTTTCTAAACCAAAAACCTTTTGCCTTTACATGGCCTGTATCCCTCTTTTCCCTGCCTATTCGTGTATCTGTCGAGATGCCTTTAAATAATGTTATTGTATCTGCTTTTACCACCTCATCTGGTAGCGCATTCCAGACACTTGCCACTCTCTGTATAAAAGAAAAAAAGACTTGCCTCTCACATCTCCTTTTAAACTTCCTCTCTTTTACCTTAAATCTATGTCTTCCAGTAATCAGCATTTCTACCCTGGGAAAATGACTCCTACCATCCATGCCCCTCGTAATTTTATAAACACCTGTCGGGTTGCCCCTCAGCCTCTGACCTTAAGTGAAAACAAATCAAGTTTGTCCAATCTTTCCTCTTAGCTATTACCCTCCAAACCAGGCAACATTCTGGTAAACCTTTTCTGTACCCTCTTCAAAGCCTCCCCATTCTTCTGGTAGTGTTGCAACTAGAACTGTAAGCCATATTCCAAATGTTTAAAGTTTTTGAGGAGATTTGTAGCTCGGGTCGTGGATGAACTTGTAGTCTTGCTCGCCGAGCTGGTATATTTCATTGCAGATGTTTTGTCACCCTGCTAAATAACATTGTCAATGCGCCTCTGGTGAAGCATTGGTGCTCCGTCCCACTTATTATTTATATGCCTTGGTATCACTACCAGTAGTCATACCAGCCACCCCAGCAAACCAAGGCATATATATAACAAGCGGGACAGAGCACCACTGCTTCACCAGAGGTGCACTGACTATGTTACCTAGCAGGGTGACGAAACGTCTGCAATCAAACACACTGGCTCGGCGAGCAAGT